TAGATCGACCTACGGTCCGTCAATCCCCTCCGTAGCTCCATACTTAGAATCTTCAAAAATCAGGTACTGGAACCCTCGCAGTATCACTCTACGGATCAACAGTACGGTCCGTAGATCAGTCTACGGACCGTCAATGGGCGTCGTGGTTCCACACTTGGTCAGATTTCCCTGATTTATCCTCACTATCATGCCTGCTGATCTACGGTCATAACCTACGGACCGTGGATGGATCTACGGTCCGTAGATCACCTCCGTGGATGTCCCTTTTCTGCAATTCCTTCAGCTGTCTCTACACATCCGCACCTGAACGTCTTTCCTGCAAAACATGGTAAAAACACATCAAAACCAATATAAAAAGGCCTTAGACACACACAACTAGTAAGTGAAACGTATTAGAAATACCGTAAACTCACGGTATATCACTTACGAAAGCCAAACATCAAATATTTTTGCCCAATAATTGGTATGGCCTACCAAGGTTAACTGTAACACTTCAAAAATTTGGATTAAATTTGAGTCATTAAATTTCATTGCTTTGACTCGAGCTACGTTAAAGCAAATGTGAATATGTAAAAGTTAATTTCTTATCGTGTACAAAGGGTGCAAAAAGGTTGAAATTAAAATAAAAATAAAAATATCAAATTTAGATCGTTGATATGACATATGTTAGAATAGTAATAGGTATATACAATCCTACTTAGAATAGGAATAGGTTTATACAATCCTATTTAGAATAGGAATAGGAATAGGAATAGTAAATAGTATCTTATTTGGTAAAGGATTGTATTCTAGTGTCTATAAATACGGTTTCAATGTAATAATGTAGACACAACAACAATTCAATAATATTCCTCCCCTATATTTCTCACATGGTATGCCTTGTATGTCGATTACGTAAGACACTCTGTGGTCTAAAACAGTCTTTGCAAGCTTGGTTTGGGAAGTTCCAACACTGTAATTTTATCACTCTATGTTTTATCGGCATTATGCATCAAATTCAGTATTTCATGAGAAGACTAAGCACATTGAGATTGATTGTCAATTTTGTGAAGTCGAGTGATCAACTTTCATATATCTCACCAAGCTCCTCTTCGGTCCTCGTATTAATTATATTTGTTACAAGCTAGATACATATGATTTGTATGCACTAGCTTGAGGGGGAGTGTTAGAATAGTAATAGGTATATACAATCCTACTTAGAATAGGAATAGGTTTATACAATCCTATTTAGAATATGAATAGGAATAGAAATAGTAATAGAAATAGGAATAGTAAATAGTATCCTATTTGGTAAATGATTGTATTGTAGTGTCTATAAATAGGGTATTTGTGTAATAATGTAGATACAACAATAATTCAATAATATTCTTGTCTTATATTTCTCACAACATAAATATATACAGACTGTACATATGAAACGGGAACGGTCTGCATGTCCAATCATATATGAGGTTCAGAAGTTAGAAATTTTCAAGTGGAACAAAATAATTTTCATAAATTTTTAGGCATTTTAGGAAGAAATTAAGCATATATTGCAATCAAAATTTTAATTTAAATCAGATATTGAACAAAAGTGGTATTATAATAAAACTCTCATATTTAGACTCATTACTCGTAAGTTTTCAACATGAGACAACGGACAGTAATAAAACTCTCATATTTAGACTCATTACTCGTAAGTTCTCAACATGAGACGACGGACAATCTTAAACATTTGGGATGTGACATCTTCCTCCTTAGGAACATTCATTCTCGAAATATGACTACACATTAATCATCTTCTTTCTCAAACGAAGGTCTTGAGTATTCAAACTCACAAAATTTTACCTTTTTAGAAGGTTTAATCAATTATTAAAGATGACTTTATCAAATTGAAAGTATGCATGATCATAATGAAGTTGTGAAGTTTCGCTATAGAGAAGGTCGGAAAACAGTAACTCACGTTTATATGTTAGTTTTTGTCCGTCCTTAGTCATAATGTAAAATATTTGACCAGAGAACCCAGAGGAGATTATTTCAAGACTTGGGGTTTCTCTCTTGAGGTAAGTGCTTTTCGTTCATTCATTTCTTCCATAATTCGGTTTCCTCCCAGAACTGAAAAGATATCCATAGGATTTTATCCATTGAAACCTAGGGTTATTATTTTGATGGCACAACATGTGGGGCAGGTTAATTATGAATGATTTTCAATTCTTGTCTGTTAAATTTTGTCTTTCTAGAATAGAATTATGAACCTAGCCTACCTAGAAATTCCATAAAAATGATTCTTCGAGCATATGAATTGTTCAACAGAAGTTAATGAGGTTGAAATAGTGATCTAGTTATTACAAAGAAAGTGTCCGCTATAGTGAAACACTAGCAAATTTTCATACTCGATTTTCAATTTCCAGATTTCTACCAACTCTTGACACACGGAGATCTACACAAGGGTACTATAGCCCTAAACAACTATAATGACGGAATAAGTCATTACACATCTGCTGAATAATCTTAATTGTAGCCAAATAGTTGTTATCTACTGGAACTTTGTTGAGGGAGAGTTTTCCTCGTCATATTTTTGTTGATAAAACAACAAAGCCATGATTGTCAGACAAAAATGTTAGCTAGTTTTGGACATCATTCTGCTTACATTTGGACAAAACTTCACACCATACCATACCAGTTTTACTGCTATGAACTCTACCAAGTTTTGATGTGATGATGGGGTAAGTTGCTAATTTTTTAAGCTTTTGTTGTTGCCAGAACTATGTAATATGATTCGGCAACTGCCTTGATCGAAATATTGGGGATTTATGGAAAATCTCTTATTTTCTGAACAGGTAGACCTAAATGGTCTATGAGAGTTATTTAGGGAGGATATGGAATGGTTATGAAAAGGGCAAAGTAGATGGCAAAATCAATTTATAGTCTTGGTTTTATTTCAAAAATTCATGTCCAGACTATTTGCTTGACTAATACCTGCATAACTAATACCCGCATAAGTAATACCTGCATAACTAAAACCAACATAAGTAATACCTGCATAACTAATACTCACATAACTCTATCCAGCTACCAAACAACTATGGAAAGATCGAAGCAATGAAAGCAGAGTGGTTGCTACTAGTAATGTCTTGTCATTGCAAACAAATACAGGCAGATGGTCATGTTAGTTTGCAACAACACATGGCTGCTTCCATATTATCATACACAATAGAGGACAAGCTTAAAGAAGTTGTAGTAGCTTAAGCTATTCAAGAATCCAATGGTCCATAAAGAACTAATGGGGTGGTGGGTTAAAGAATGTACATTTTGGGATAGAATTTTTGTTCTGGATG